AATATCATTAATGTGCTCTCTGCTTCCCGAGGCTTCATCTCAGACCTTGGTCTACCACCTACTACTCCAAATATAGGCCCCAAATGGCAGCCTCAGCTTCCCTGGGAGCTGCAAGAAATGCAGACTCTTGGTCCTCTCCCCGCCCAAAGGACCAAAACCTGCATTTTAACCAGATCCTGGAATGACTCATTTGCACATCAAAATTTGAGAAATACTGCTTTGCCAAGTGCTAGAAGGAGTACAGACACCCTAGTTTGAGAAGCATAGCTGTGTAGACTTTTCTGGAAGGTCCGTTCATGATTCTCCATCGTACAGCTCTCTCCCTCATTAACTAGTTTTATTTTCTCCTGAATACTTATCTGATATTATTTTGTTTGCGTGTGTGTTTAGAATACAAGCTTCATGAAGTAGGATCTCTTGCAGACCCTTGCGTGGACAATCTTGCCTATTGTAAGTGCTCAATAAAAGGATTTTGAGTGAATGAATCTAACTGGGGGGGTGGGGGTGGGGCACAGACCAGGGCTGAATTACAAAAGGTAAATCAAGTGTCAGTCTTTTTACAGAAATTTCCCCATAAAGAATAATGTGGGTATTTTTCTCTCCTGAAAATCAGAAACAAAAAGTCATACTGGAATGTCCTCACAAAAATGATTCCAGCTGTCAGTTCCGATGTGTGGATTTCCCCCCCCACACACACCACCCAGCAGTTGTCTGACATCAGCTGGGTGTCCTACAATTCAATTCCATTCTGATGCTATCTACACAGAGATAGCGTCAGATTCCACAAGCCCAGGGGTCAGTCCCACAAGACTGCTCCAGTTCATTCGCCAATTGCAAGCTCAGGTTGTCAGCTGTGCTTCTCATTGGCTGGCTATAAATTAGAGGTTGTCCTGACTCCTTCATTGGATTCGATTAATTTGCTAGAGGGAGTCACAGAACTCAGGAACCTGGTTTGCTCTCTGGATTACTGGTTTATTATAAAGGATGCTAAAGGATATGAATCAACAGCCAGATGGGGAAGCGATGGGAGCGTCCGCGTCCTCTCCTAGCACATTGCTCTGCCGGAGTCTCCACACGTTCACCAAGCCAGAAGCTCTCCAAACCCCATCCTTTTGGGTTTTTATGGTTTTGATTAAATCACTGGTCATTGCTGGGGTCTTTGGGAGGTGATTAGGGCATAAGGGTGGAGCCCTCATGAATGGGATTATTGTCTTTATGAAGGAGGCCCCAGAGAACTCCCTTGCCCCTTCTGCCAAGTGAGGACGCAGCTAGAAGACACTGTCTAGGAACTAGGAAGCGGGCTCTCACCAGACACCGAATCTGCTGGAGCATTGACCTTGGACTTCCCAGCCTCCAGATCTGTGAGAAAGGAATTCTGTTTTTATAAGCCACCAAGTTTATGGTGATTTGTTATAGCAGCCCAAGCAGACCAAGACAGGTAGCATGTGATCCCGTCTACAGACAAATGGTTACACCAGGTTGGCGGAGAGAATGGATCTGACTCTAATGGGGCATCTTTGGGATGATGGAACAATTCTCTGTCTTGATTGAGGTGGTGGTTACATAAATCCACTTGGATGATAAAATTGTATAGAACCATACACACCAACCTACCCACATACACACACACACACGAGTGCATATAAAACTGATGAAATAAAACTGATGAGTAAGTTCTGTGGATTGTACCTATGTCAGTTTCCTGGATTTGATGCTGTACTAGAAACATATAAGATGTTACCACTGGGGAGAACAAGGGTACGCGGGACCACTCTACTAGTTTTGCAACTTCCTGGGAATCTATAATGATTTCAAAATAAACAATTTAAAATATCAGATTGAAGTTTTGATGATAGGGACCATGTCTTGTTTTTAAAACATTTAATGAATAAGAGATAATTTTCTACTGTTCAAGACAACCTAAGCACAGAAATGTTTTGATTTCCTCTGTACAAAACGCGTCTCCCTAAATTAGAGAGAGTAGTTGAGCCAAAAGTAATTAAGCATCTATCTTCACCCGGGTATAGGAGTAAATAACCCCATGGGGACTTAGCTTCTTGCTTCTCACGTGGCAGCCTGGGGCAGGACCTGTGGAGAACTGCCCCGCTCAGAAGGAGGAGAAGTGAGCCACCCAAGAAGGCTGCATTTGGTTTGGGGTGATGGACGTGGCTGCCATTGTGCAACGGTGTCTGAGTCCCACCATGAGCCCCGTGACTCAAGCAACAGAATATGGTGTCCAGTGCAGCCAGCTGTTGGTCCAAGAGGAGCTATACTATCACCTCCATCACCAGCCACGTCCATCCTGAGGAAGGGACACCCATCGGAGAACCTGTCCCCGACTTGAACCAGTGGGGAATGAGAAGATGTGGGTAGGCAGTTGGTGACCTTCATTTGCCCTTTGATTTTTCTCATCACTAATACATAGTCTTTTTCTGGGCACACTGTTCTCACTTGGGTCGAACTGTGGGTGGCCTAGAGGAAATGAATGGAAGCTCTATAAATAACTCAAGCTCTTCCAAAGCCGTGACAATAAAGCCAGAGCTTGGAAACTCAGCAGCCTACAGGGACTAGACAGGAAAGGGAGTGAAGCGGGCCAAGTCGGCAGTGTGAACCAGAGAGACCCAGCCCCGTCTAAAGGAAGCGGCCAGCTGACTGCTCCCTGGAGACCCAGAGTGGCCAAACTGTCCCGCTTCTCAGGACCAGCCAGAAACCTGGGTTTTTATGTGAAATGCACTCTTTGAAACTTAACTAAAATGTTTAAGACACCACATGGGCCAGCAGCCCCCCTATGCCCGCCCCTAAGGAAGGAAGGCAAGGACCACGTGAGGGCCAGATGTCAGTCTGTGACCAGAGACACCAGCTCTACTCTCCTGGCCTTGACGTCGTCCCTTCTCACGCTTTCTTAGCAACAGAGACCGAGAAAAGCGCTCTCTCAGGGGAAGGAAGGCAGAGTGAGGAGTGGTGGGAGTTTGGACCAGCTCCATGCTCAAGAATAAAGAAGCAATGTGCTCTGACAAAAGGTATTAACATGCGGGCACTCCCAACCTCCCATCTCCCTTCCTCCTACTAGTCGAGCAGGGGGGACCTTGTAGGCAGAGATCTGGAGGAGAGCTGGGGGAGGGGAGTGTGGGCGCTGAGCATCCTTGGGTTCAGGAAACCACTAGGCTTTGAGGAATGTTGTCAGGGACTAAGATGAGACCATCCTCACTGCTCTTTAAGAAGCTCGGGTAAACTTGAATGGCTCTTGGCCACTATACTGTGTATGTGAATTCAGTGAGACCTTGCCAAGACGGGGCCGGTAAGGGCTAGGCTGGGAATTAGTCTGTTTCCTGTATAGAACTTCTTTCTGTCCTAAGAATGGAAGGAGAAGTTTTTTCCCCATAGTCTGGAAGTTTAGGGGCATTTTCTAAAAGATTTAAGCCTCTGGGACTTGCCCATGTTTCCTAGCGGTGACCGTCTTATAAATGACAATGTCATTTAGGATCTTCAAGGCCAAGTGTGGGCAGAGCAGCTGGCTCCCTTCCCAGCCAGTCTGTGCAGGAGAGGAACTCCTGATTAGTTTAAGAGCAGAAGTCTGGGGTAGGGAGGGGGCACAGCATGAGGAAAATTCACCTCTGGCCTTGGGGCTGGACAGGGCTTGTCTGGAAAACCTGTGGGACCACCTGGCAGAAGCCCATTCTGAGAAGGTGTTGACAGATGAGAATTCTCTTGAGAGAGAATTTCCCCAAATGGGAGCCAGGAGGCAAGGTCAGGCATGAATGAAGCCTTAGTCATCAGAGGACCACAGACTCTGCACCCGGCCCAGGTGATCCGAATCTGGCCCATAGACACCAGTTGAAATCCTGGGCAAGGGAGACCTGGAGCCAAGACAGAAAGAAGGGTCCTCATCCAAACCAGCTAGAGCCTGGGGGCACCAGAAGAGGAGAGGGGCTTCATCCCCAGCAGTGTGCCCAGAAGGGTTGGCTCCCTGGGGAAGGGCCCACAGGGGTCAGCAGAAGAGACAGGTGGAGTAATGAGGGCTGAGGAAGCAGCTGGGAGCCCATGGAGGGACCAGAACCACATGTTCTTAAGTACAAATGAGACATCTCCTAGAGACCCCAGAATTATGGGGGTGGTGGGGGGGGGCGCCACACCTTCAAAAATTTGGCAGGAACAAGAAAAGACACATTTAAGCGTGAAAATTACATACATTTTAACTTCAGTCTTGGGGCCCAGGAAGGCACAAAATGTAGGAACATCCAGATGTTTCTCCAGTGATAATTCAAAGCATAATGTTTCACTTCAATAAGTTTGTAAGCTCTTGGAGGACAGAGATTTCTCTCTCTTTTATTTAATGCCCTCTCTCCAATGACTAGAAAAGTGCCTGGTACACAGTCACGTCAGCGCTCAACTGAATAAGCTAGAGAGTTTCAGAACTTTACCTCCCCGATTCTTAATCTTTTGGCAGCAGCAGACCACTGTCTTGAAATAAAACTTCAAGTGGAAGTGAAAAAACACAAAATAGATAAAATGGAGTTTCTCGGATTGAAAAGGAGATGGCATGAGGGATCCGCGCCCAGCTCAACCCATTCCTCTTGGCCGACCCTGTGAATCCTCCAGGCCTCAAACAGCACAGTTGGAAACACAAATAAGGTCATGTTGCAAAAAGGGAGGCTGACAAAGATGCCAATGTGGCCTTTCCTTCAGGAGGCATTTGACAAAACTCAACATAAGGAGGCCCCTTGGGAAAGTATTGGTGATAGCTTGGCATATGGATCGATGGAGAAGTTAAAATCAGGGCAACCTTTAGTTTATTATGCAGTGACGGAGGGCAGAGCAACCACAACCTGGACTGTCACACTCCTCCCGCCAACATGTCAGCACCCAGCAGGCTCTGACACTTCATAAATATTAATGGCCTTTGGCTCAGCAGTTTCTGAATATTCCTCAGTTTAAGCTCAGCCTCAACACTTCCCAGGGCAAGGAGCGGGGTTGAATTAAGATGCAGCCTTTATAAAATGTTGACTTGTATAAAATGTTGAGTTTAATTCTATTATTATTTTATCCTTCCAACCCAAACCTCAAATTTTGCATTTATATTGAGTTATCCCTGACTAGGTCCAGTGGCAATGTCACAACGTCCCTACCGGGACGCATCCCAAGCAGCCTTGATGATCTTCTTGCTCCTTCACACCAGCAGCTCCAACATTTGCCAAATCGAATTCAAAAGAGTAACGTGAGTTCCTGATGGAGGGCTCTCCCGTCTGCACCCTGGAGTCGCGCAGACCTGGGACCAAATTTCTGCCCTGTGAATGTTGCTGGTTTGGGCAAGTCACTCCGTTTCTCGAAGTCTCAGTTCAACAATTCTAAAGTGTGGGAAATAATACTTTCTTCAGTTTCCTATCACTATGGCAACAAATTATCACACACATGGTGGACTAAAACAACCCAAACTTATCGTCTACCACTTCTGGAGGTCAGAAGTCTGAAATGGGGCCCATTGGGCTCAAATCAAAGTGTTAGCAGGGCTGCATTCCTTCTGGAGTCTCCGACAGAGAATCTGTTACGTTGCTTTTTTCAGCTTCCAGAAGCTGGTCCCCGTTCCTTGACTCAGGGCCCCTTCCTCCACCTTCAAAGACAGCAATGGCTAGTCCAGTCTTTCTCACACTGTATCACTGACTTCTGCCTGCTGCTTCCATTTATAACGACACTTGTGATTACATTGGGCCCACCTGGATTGTAGTTATTATAGTTTAGCAGCATTTCTTTCTACTAAGCCCTAGAGTACTCACCGGGAAGGGTGTGACATCCTCCTGACCCTGAGTAACGTGACCGTGAATTTCCTTGGCTCTCAGCCACACCACGGTGCCATCCACTACACTTTCTTTTGATCAGTCATCGTCTCATGGATCCACAAGTTTAGCCACTTTTCCAGGTTTTCCATAGCTTCATTGAGCGTTAACATGTTACTGTAGCAGTTTCCAGAGCAGCCTCTGGTACAGGCTGGCAAATTTCCTCTTCCTTTTCCGTGATGTACCATATTGTCGACTCATTAACGTTGAACCCAAAGCCGATGGCACTAAAACTCGAACTTGAACAAAGCTCGTGTAACACACGCGTTTCCTCCATAAGGCACATCACAGCGTTCTTGAGCTTAGGAACGTGGGAGAGCATCTCAGCACTACACTTGGAGGCCACTTTATACAGCGAAATCACTAACAAAAAGCACAAAAATGCAGAAAACACGGGACTAAATAGACTGAGTAAAGGACACTTGTTTACATTATGAGAGCTGAAACAAGATGGCAAAGTGTCACCTTGTTCGACCTCAGCTGGGAACATGCATGTTGGCAGATTCAAATTTTTTTTGCCTCTCTGTTCACATCCATGAATGACCAGGAAGGTGCGGCTGATATTGATTCTAGAGTTACAAATAAATTTTCGTGAGCAAGAGAATTCACAAATTCAGAGTCTGTGACTCATAAGGATCGACTCTATCTGGTGTTTTTTTTGGGGGAAATGGCTGGAGGGTTGCACTCAGCTGGGACAGTGCACTGGGCGTCTACATGTGGCCTCTCCAACATGGTGGCCTCAGGGTGATTGGCCTTCCCCCAGAGAAGTGGTGGCCGGCTGCGCCCCAGAGTGGGCATCTTAAGAGAACAAGGAGGAAGTTGCATGACCTTTCCTGACCTAGCTTTGGAAATGACACAGAGTCACTTCTGCCACATTTTATTGGTTACAAGAGAGGCGTCAGACAGCCCAGCTTCAGGGAAAGGAGAATTAGATGCCACATCTTGGTGGAGGAGAAGTTGCTATGTCCATCTTGGAAAACACCATCTGCCAGAGTGCTGGAAAAAAAAACAGTAGCTATTATTTGATACAAAACAACAACAAAAAATGTTTCAACCAAACGCCCACAAGTGTAGAAGTCATTACTCAGAAAGATTGCTTTTGTAATCATCTGCTTCCTCACAAGGCTCTAACAGCTGGTGAGCAGCTGAGAAGCTCTGGCTACACATTTAAGGAAAAGATAGACAGGAGCTAAGGAGAGCGGGGAGGCAGCCAGAGAGTCACACGACCCAGGATTTTGAAAAAACTCCGAGTTCTTTAATCCAATTAGGACACAGTCTGGTCCCAGCCAAGTGGAGGAATTCACATCTGAACAACAGTGTTCCAGAACATTGGTTTACCCAGACGGAAGCACCTGAAGACTCTGTTAAAAAATATAAATTTGTTCAACACCCTGCCTTACATATATGAATCTGCAGGTCTGTCGTCTTTTTGACAAATACTCCAAGTTATCCCGGTGTAGCTACACGGACAGGTATCCTTCTCCGACCCAGGAACTTAGAGAAAACTCTCAGCTCCCACATTGTCACTCAGTTCAGCTCCTTCAGGAGTCACCAGAGATTGTGTTGAGACGCTTCTAGACCCACTCGCGTTCCCAGGAGGTACCGGGTGTCCCCGACTCTGTGACAGAGAGCTGGAGAGGACAATGAGACATGCTCCAATGTGTGAATCCTCTTTAAAAGCACCACCCTATCAGATGGGTATTGTGGTCTGCAGAATAACGCCTCCTGCAGAAGATGGCCATGTCCGAACCCCTGGAACTTGGGAATATGTTACCCTAGACCAAAAAGGGGAATTAAGGTTGCAGATGGACTGAAAACATGCCCCATGTTGTACTGCTATTAATTTATCACTCTGAAAAAAAGTCAACACAATGTTTGGCACATAGTCGGGGTTCAATAAATGGTATTACCATACCGTGACAGGGATGTGTCTTCATTCTGGTTGACTTTTATCTTCCAAAACTTTTAACTAAGCACTCAACTTTAGTAACAGAGTAGTTCATGCAAGAGAACTTTGGAGAAAGCACAGAGTAAGGGAATTAACAGAGACTTTGGGAGTTAACATGGAGTTTTCTGTGAACATCAGTGACCAGGAGTCTGCCTTGAGTTCATCCAGTTTCTATAATCACTTCCAATAATTTGTACAACCAAAAACAATGGAAACATTTGAACATACAACAAATGTTTACAACTCAAATCACAGACAAAGGGCCAATCTCTTTAATGTATAGAGAGTTCCTAGAAATCATTAAGAATAAGAGAAGGGGTCACCCCAGTGGCATAGTGGTTAAGTTCACGTGCTCCACTTCAGTGGCCCACGGTTTGTAGGTTCAGATCCTGGGTGCAGACCTACACATCACTCATCAAGCCATGCTGTGGCAGCATCCCACATACAAAATAGAGGAAGATTGGCACCGATGTTAGCTCAGGGCCAATCTTCCTTCACTCTCAAAAAAGAAAAAGAAAAAAAACAGAAACAAGTACAAATGACATGACATGAAGGATATGAATAGATACTTCAGGGAGAGGAAAATACAAAGAACTGTTGATGCAATGAAAATACACTGAGCCTCAACATAGTAAGAGAAAAGTAAACTAAAACTACACTGGAATTCAAAAGTGTAGAAAACTCTGTTGGCAAGGTTCTGAAGGAACAAGCACTTTGATACACAGCTAATAGGAGTGGAAGTTTGTACAGTCCAATTGGGGATTAATCTGACCCTATCTACCAAAATACTAAATCAGTCCCCTTTGTCCATCTATATTCCATTTGGGGAATTTATCTGACAGATCTACCCACAGAGAAATGAAATGACACTCTGCAGCTTTGTTCATCATAGGCAAACATTGGAAGCAACCCAAACATCCATCAGTGGGGTACTGCTTATAGAGTGATATATCCACTTTGTGAAATACTAGAAAAGTGGGGGAAAAAAAAGGCATGATAAAACCCCCCAAAGTGACATAGAAACATCTCCAAGACACATTGTTAAGTGACCAAGGCAAGAAGCACAATGTGCACAGTATGCCACCTTTTGGGTTTCCAAAAAGAGGGCAGAAAATAAGACTGTATATTTATATTTGTTGTGTCAACTTAAAAGCAAATTTGCCTATTATTTTATATCAAAATGAGTTTATTCAGGAATAGCCAAGAGAATTGCAATTCAGGATGCACATGCTATGGCAAACCATAGGCAAATCTGGAAAAGAAAGAAGGGAGCTGCTTTTACAGAGAAAAAGGGGTATTTGGGGGGAGGGGGAGTGGGGGGGTGCTGTTCCAAAAGAAAGTCCATTGGTGGAAATAACAGTTCAGGGCAGCAAATGCTTCTCATTGGCTGAGCTGAGGCATTTCTCATTGGCTGAGCTGCAGCGTTTCTCATTGGCTGGGCTGTTGCCAGGTGGGGAGAGAAATCTTCCTTCAATAGTGAAGTCATTGTCCTTCCTGTCCAAGATGCCCGAGTCTGTCTCTTCCTGTTTGGAGTAATTGATGATGCGTGATAGGGCTTGAGACCCTCCCCGACAGGGCTTCCAGACTCCAGTTAAGGTTTCTTTCATTAATTTCTAGAGCTTGTATGTGTGCATGGAAGGTCTTTAAAAGGATCCATGAGATCTGAAAGCGAGGTTGGAAGCTGGCTGGGTGGATGACATGGATTGAGGGCACTTTTCTCTGTGTACCATTTTGGCTTCTGAATGTTGTTTGTAAATGCATTACTCACTAAAATTTTAATTAAATCAAAAGTATTGTTTAGCAATTAAAATGGTTAATGTTCCAAATTACAAACAATAGATGTCTCCTCAACAGGACAAGGAGCATGACAGATGGTCTATCGAGAAGCATCTTCCTCCTCATGTAAAATATTAGCCTGGGAAACACACAAGTAGCTTGTTAGAGAGAAAACTAACATGAAAGTCGGAAACAACAACTATAGTTTAGAAACAGTTTAGATATGTTAGTTTTAGTTTCTGTTCTAAGTAAAATACATTTCAATTGTGGTATCGAGACATAAGAGAAGTTTATTGCTGGTTCTCAGTGTTTGTTTTTCCTGATTTTCTTCTTACAAAATAGTGTGAGATGGGCCCAGCCCCGTGGCCAAATGGCTAAAGTTTCACGTGCTCTGCTTCAGTGGCCCCAGTTCGCAGGTTCGGATCCCAGGCGCAGACCTACTCCACTCATCAACCATGCTGTGGAGGTGTCCCACATACAAAAAAAATAGAGGAAGATTGGCACAGATGTTAGCTTAGGGCAAATCATCCTCAGCAGAAAAAAAAAAAGTGTGTGTGTCTGTGTGTGTGGCTTAAATAATGTCTGTAAATAAATTAATTGTGCTACTGTGTATTCATCATTCAAACATGTTAAGGACAGGAGAATTCTGTATGAGTTTAGTAGAAAAAGCTTACCAAAAAAGGACTATGATTCCACATGAAATACACTTTTTCTCAAATGTTTCTAATTGTACTATGTTTTGAGCATGAGGAATCTGATAAAAGCATAACTGTAATATAACAGGGTCAAAATGCATCAACGGTGGCAATCCTCATATATTATTATTCTGTGTTGGTCCCATAAGAAATTACCAGGTTTGACATATTTAGAACATAAGTCCAACACCAAATCATTCCCTTTCTGTTACCCAAATCTGTATTCTACTCATTTAGAAATAGTCTTTCCTACCTCTTCAATTAGTAAAAGGACCCACTCATTTATCAGCCACCTGGGACAGTTTTTAGAGCTAAACAAGACACTCAGTAATTATGCAGGGACAAAGTCCTATGCCAGGTTGCCAAGGCGAACGAGCCACTTTACCTGCTGTGGTATTCTTAATAAATGGGAACCGCAGAGTATTTATAAGGCTGGTTTGGTTGTAATAAATTGCATCTTTCCAATTATGCTACAAATTGCTTCCAGGGGGCTCGAGTTGAACTCTTTTCCGTAAAGGCACATTGAACAGGACTGAAGTGGTACCCAAACCCCTAAACTATCTAAGCGATCTAGCCACCTAAGCACCTCACTTTTGTCAAAACTAATGACGTGTCCGCGATGATTAACGACTGCATTGATAAACAAGATGAAGCCTTCCCAAACTTACTCTTGCTGTATTTATTTGAATTTGTGTCGCCTGATTCTTTTCCTGATCTGGAATTCATCTGCACTTAAAAAAAATTATTGTGTTACAGCTCTTTCTAGGAAAATAGCTTTAAATTTTCACTTCTCCCAATTCGAGACATAACGGATCTCACCAATGTGTAAGGCAGTAATAGCTCAGATGCTCTGTTCTTAGATTTACGTCTCCCAGAGCCAAGTCAATCACCACCAAGAAAGACTCAGCCCTGCTTGTGTTATATATACCAAAGTAATAGTTTTAGTTGTTTCACAGATTTTGTCAATTCAGTCTCTTCATGGAGACATACCCCAAATCCATTTGTCCTGTTTGAAAAGTGGGAATAATACTGTTATCATAGCATTGTTAGTCAGCCTTACACGGAGTCTTGGAAGCCTTGGAGGGCAGACATGTACCCTCGAAATTAGCTGCAGCATGTCACTGTATGTGCATGTGTGTGTGTGTGTGCATTTTTTCTCACAAAAAAATAGTTCATAGCAGGGGCGGGCCCGGTGGCATAGTGGTTAAGTTCACACACTTCACTTCAGTGGCCCAGGGTTTGCCAGTTTGGACCCAGGGTGCAGACCTACACACCACTCATCAAGCCATGCTGTGGTGTCATCCCACATACAAAATACAGGAAGACCAGCACAGGTGTCAGCTCAGCAACAATCTTCCTGACCAAAAAAAAAAAAAAAGTTCATAGCACTCATCAAATTCTCCGAGAGGTTACCTGAGGACTCAGGAAAGGTTTAAAACAGACACAGCTCAGTCGAGAGGGCAACTTTCTTCTGGGCGTTTATTCTGGACAGATGTGTCCACCTAAGTGGAAACTTTGTCACTGGCATTTACGTGAACAGGGCAGCCTATGGCTCTACACACTTTCAGGTGGCCCAG